GCTTAGGGAGAGGTTATCAGCCCCATGGACCCTCAGTTGTCATGTTCCTCAGGGCTCGATCATCTCCCCAATGCTATCTAATATATACATGAGGCCGCTGGGTGGGGTCAGCAGGGGGTGTGGGGCATCGTGTCATCAATATGCTGATGACACTAAGCTCTACATCTCCTTTTCACCTACTGCAGGAGATGCCGTTCTATCCCTCCAGTGCTGCCTGGGGACTGTACTGCAATGGATGCAGGAAAATGGGCTGAGGCTGAACCCGGACAAGATGGAGGTTCTGAGGGTGGGGGTGACCCTTGTCAGCGGCTTGGATGACTCTCTCTCGTTTGGGGGGTGACCCTTGCTGCAAAGAGTGGGGTTCACAGCTTGGGGATCCATCTGGACCCGGCGCTCACCATGGAAATGCAGATGGCGTCGGTGGTCTGCCCCGCCTTTTTCCATCTTGACAGGGGGGCACTCACTACCTTGGTGCATGTGCTCGTAATCTCAAGATTAGACCACTGTAACACACTCTACGTGGGGCTGCCCTTGAGGTTGATGCGGAAACTCCAAGTGGTGCAGAATGTGGCGGCCAGACTCCTCAGTGGAGTGAGAAAATACCATCACATTTCTCCTATTCTGGCCGCACTGCACTGGCTGCCCATTCGGTACAGCGTTGACTTCAAAGTTTTAATGCTTACTTATAAGGCCCTAAATGGTTTAGGGCCTCGATATTTGGTGGAACGCCTATGCCCACCAAGGTCTACCTTTATCACCTGCGTGAGTCAGGAGGTGAGGCTGAGGAGCTTGACACCGAGGAAGGCCCAGAAGGAAAAAACAAGAAACCGGGCCTTCTCGTCGGTAGCTCCTCACCTCTGGAACAATCTTCTTCCGGAGAGCCGTGCAGCCCATACGCTGGGTATTTTTAAAAACCAATTAAAAACATGGATGTTTATGTAGGCCTTCCCTCCAGTCAATACTTGATCTGTTTTCTTTATTTATTTTTCTTTCTTTCTTTCTTTTTCCTCTATTTACTTTTATTTTCCCATCTTGTAGAATTTGTCATTTAATGTAATAATTTTTCTGTTATATTTATTTGTTGGTTTTATATATGTGTTTGGAAGCCGCCTAGAGTGATCGCAAAGGCCAGATAGGCGGGAAACAAACAAACAAACAAACAAACAAACAAACAAACAAACAAATAAACAAATAAATAAATAAATAAACAAACAAACAAACAAACAAACAAACAAACAAACAAATAAATAAAGCAAGCCCACTCAGGCTTCATTTCTAATTCCTGGCTGTTCATTCCAGCTTCCTACTGCCTCAGGTATGTAGAACCTGAAACAAACTACAGGAGCTCAGCTCACGCCATTGCATGGATTTGATCCTCCACTTGAGAAGCCCAGTGGCCCCATGGATTAACCATTGTTACATTAGTAGTACCACCTTATTCATCTGTTGTTGCTGTTGTTGTGCAACCTCAGTTGGCTCCTGTGGGCAAATGTGATGTTCCCAAAGAAGGCAAGAGGCTGCTTTCAAGCCTGTCTGGGCATCCAAGCACCAACCAAGCCTGTCTCAAGCCCCCCCCCCAAGCCCATCTGGGCATCCTCTGTGCCAAAGAGGGCCTGTCTCGGGCCCACCCCAAACTGGCAGACTGTTCATTTCAGCTTCCTAGCTATTCTACAGTAGTTAGGCAGAACTTGGAACAAACTACAGGAGCTCAGCTCATCAGCGGCCCGGTGGATCAACTACCGTTACATTAGTAGCACCTTGGACCCTATTCATCTGCTGTTGTTGGTGCAGTTGTGCAACCTCAATTGCCTCCTGGGGGCAAACTGAACTACCTTTGCGCTGAAGAAAACAAGAGCTGGGTTCTGCCCCACCCAATACCTGTCCAGCCATCGAATGCCAAAATGGTGCTCCAAAGTCCACTTGGGCTACTGCCTGAGTAGGTTGGCAGAATCTGGGAGTCACAGGAGCTCACAGATCCAAACTGCTGGCCTTTCGATCAACAAGCCTAGTGGCTCAGCAGCAGTTTAATTCAGTAGGTAGGCAGAAGAAGGAACAAGGGACAAGAGCTCAGGTCACTCCATTGCAACTGCCGTTATTCCCGATCTTCTGCTTGAGAAGCCCAGCAGCCACCCTGATTAACTGCCGTTAGTAGCACCTTGCAGTTGGACCCTATACATCACTATAATAGTCTTATTTAATCAGGCAACACACATTGCAAAATTCCCATCCCATTTTGATGAGTAGAGATGGACACAAACCTCAGTTTGGAGGTTTGTACAGGTTCCATTCCCTTTCCCCACCCCCCATCCCGGCTCCCTCACTCACCAGCCAGCATGCACTGCTCTTTCCCTTGCACAGTTGTTCAGTCAGAACAGGAGCACGTGCTTCCCTCCTCTGACTCAGCCACCCACTCAAAGGCAGCACTGCAGAAATCCCAGCCCCGCCTCTTCATCTGAGTGAGCTGGTGAGTGGGTGAGCTGGCAGGGAGGGTGGGGGAGGTGAATGCATAGCACTTGTGGTGCAGTGCCAACAAACTGGCCTGAACCTCTGAACCAAGTTTTGTGCCCATGTCCAATTATGGACCAAGCTTTTCCAGCCTTTCCCTTTGTCTCTCCATTAGAGTTAGGCTCTATATATTTGATGCAATTCCTTTATTCTCTTGATTTAAAATTAGTTCAGCTTCCATTGGGTGAGGAACCTCTTGAGAATGGCTGATCCTTGGCCCTGTGATCTGAATTCCCACATCTTTAGCAGCCGTGTGATTGGCTGTGATCGGCCCCTCCTATTCATCATGACATCTGAACCACTTTCAGTTGAAGTCTCAACAAAGCCTTTTTGATCTATGCATTCTTCTGTGCTCACGACCTGGGGTTCAATCCCAGGTAGCCGGCTCAAGGTTGACTCAGCCTTCTATCCCTCCGAGGTGGGTAAAATGAATACCCAGCTTGCTGGGGAGGCAATATGTAGCCTGCATAATTAGTTTGTAAACCGCCCAGAGAGTGCTTGAAGCACTATGGGGCGGTATATAAGCAGCACACTTTTTGCTTTGCTTTATTATTGTTTTTCCTATACTATTCTCTACTTCCCATTTATCTTTGTTTTGTGCTTCTGTTACTCTTTGTAAACAACCATGTACCTTCAAAACTCTGAGGTTAAACTGAAGCCTGTTTTTCTATTGAGAAAAATCTAAAAATGTTAGTTCTCAAAAGCTCCCACAAAACGCCATGCTCTAACTAAGATCCATTTTTCCTCTTTTTTGTCTTAGCAACTTGGGATAGCAATCTTAGAAGAGAAACAGCCAGTTATGAGGTGTTTCTGGTTAAACACTGTGAAGGAGAGAGAAAAAATGCAAATACTTTGGAAAAAAATAACAACAAAGCTTCAATCATATTCGGTAGCTTTCTGTCTCTCTGCTCTCTAGGCCCATAACCTGTTGTAGAGTTCTGGATTTTTTGTTAAATTCCTCTAGCTGTTCAACAGAAGTGTGGGGACCTTGAAGAGCTTCAAGTTCCCCACATTATTTCACCTCTTTTTCTCAGGAACTGGCACTTACAGTCTCAATAACTCTTTCTGAGACATTTATAGTAGAAAGAATAAAATGTTTCATTAGTTACAACTCCACAAATCAACAACTGATTGCTTTCAGCAACAGACCTCAACAAACTCCATGTAACGATGGCCAAGTGGAAATTATAGGCCATGTTTTACTGTACAGTCTTTTTAATAGAGAGCTACGCACCAACCTCTTGAGCCCAATTATTCTCAGATATCCAGGGAGACCTAATGAATTTTAGATCAAGCAGCTTCTTTCTGACCAAGACTCTCTCATTACATTCTCTGCAGCAAATTTTGTGCAGCTGCAATGGCACAGTGCTCCTTTATAGTCTCCTGAGGTCGCAGGTTAACTGGTTTTAGCATGAAGGTGGTTTATTGTCAAGCATAGATAAATTTTGTGGTCCCAACCAAAGAGACGCAATGTTTACAAATGTTTACAAATACGTAAACATTTGTATACCCCAAAGATCCTGTCCAAACCAGTTTGCCCAGACAATCCAATGGTTCAAAGGATACCTGTAAAAATGCTATAACTGATTCTCCCCATGTATTACAACTAGTACGCAATTAATTATCAGTTGTACAATATTTTAAAATGCATTTTGTATATTTTAGCCATATAATATGTTTTATGAACTGGTTGTACACTTTTTAAATTGCATTTTGTATATTTTAGCCATATAATATGTTTTATGAACTGGTTGTACACTTTTTAAATTGCATTTTGTATATTTTAGCCATATAATATGTTTTATGAACTGGTTGTACACTTTTTAAATTGCATTTTGTATATTTTAGCCATATAATATGTTTTATGAACTGGTTGTACACTTTTTAAATTGCATTTTGTATATTTTAGCCATATAATATGTTTTATGAACTGGTTGTACACTTTTTAAATTGCATTTTGTATATTTTAGCCATATAATATGTTTTATGAACTGGTTGTACACTTTTTAAATTGCATTTTGTATATTTTAGCCATATAATATGTTTTATGAACTGGTTGTACACTTTTTAAATTGCATTTTGTATATTTTAGCCATATAATATGTTTTATGAACTGGTTGTACACTTTTTAAATTGCATTTTGTATATTTTAGCCATATAATATGTTTTATGAACTGGTTGTACACTTTTTAAATTGCATTTTGTATATTTTAGCCACCCTCTCTTATCATAGCTAGGCCCAAAAGCAGCAGGTTAACAAATGGATGTAACCTATTGACTGCTGTTTAGTCGTTTAGTTGTGTCCGACTCTTCGTGACTCCATAGACCAAAGCATGCCAGGCCCTCCTGTCTTTCGCTGCCTCCTGGAGTTGGGTAAAATTCATGTTGGTGGCTTCGATGACACTGTCCAACCGTCTCATCCTCTGTCATCCCCTTCTCCCCTTGCTTTCACATTATACATTATACCTTATTTCTCTGCATCTTTTCTATTCAAGGTATCGGTTTTTCTCATGGTGAGAACTGGAAAGTGATGCGGCGGTTTGCCATAACCACATTGCGGGACTATGGAATGGGCAAGAGAACCATAGAAGACAAAATTGTTGAGGAATGCAATGTCTTGATAAAGACATTTGAATCTCACGAAGGTGGGTGGGGTGATATTTCATTTTTTTAGGCTTTTCTCTGGAAATCGTGTGTTTATGTCTCTAGAGTGTTTATACACCCAAAGACATCCTGTGTAACATTTCTTTTCAGTATTCAGTATTTCTTAGCTTCAAAACTCAAAAATACTGAGGAGTGGAATTTTATTTTCTAATGTACATTCAACGTCCACATGTATACATGTATACACTGATATTGGTGTCTTCAGGCATTTAGAAGGACATTTACATCTGATAAATTTTGCATTTCAGAGTTTCATTTATAGAAATATCATTCTTTAATCATTTTTGTACAGGAAAACCTTTTGAGACCATTACAATTATGAATGCAGCTGTTGCCAATATTATTGTGTCCATTCTACTTGGCAAGCGATTTAAATATGAAGATCCTACATTTCAACGACTACTACAATTAATTAATGAAAATGTCCATCTCCTTGGAAGTCCCTCAGTCATGGTAATTGAACTACTTTTTCTTGGAAAGTATTTCCATTCAATCTGGGTTGATGGTCTTGTTTAGGATTCACTGAAAAAGACAGAATTTGAAAATTGTTCTTCATGTTTACTCATTATGTTAGGAAACATGGACCATACTGAAAACTGTCCCTGTACTCCTAAGTTGCAGCAGTGGCAAGAGATGCTTTTGCAAGTGGCTTTTCTTTTCTTGTTCCCTCTTTTTTCTTCTTTAATGCCATAGATGCAGTCTTATCTGACCTGAGGTGACCAGGCAACCATCATCATTCCTTGCTCCCCTGACATCTTGATTAATGCAAAGAACTATACAGTGGCATCCTTTGAAGAGTGCCAGAAGCTTCCATTTCTTCAAAATACAGCAGCTAATGTACTGACTGCTGCATAGTATCAACATCATCTAACCCTGAGCAACCTATCTTGGTTGTCAGTTGTTTTTCAGGTCCAAATAAGGGTGTTTTTTTAAAAATGGGAAAAAAAAAAAACCTTTACAGCCCAGAAAGACTTAATCCCATAAAAGAGAGTGTTGTTGTTTTTTCATT